AAATAAGATACTCTTTAATTTTTTAAGAAAAAATCCTCTATTTTTGGGTTTCTTATTTTCGGTCATATACGGTAAATATAAATACATCTATCTTTTCAATATTTTTAATTTCAAAAATGTATTATTTAATTAAAGGTCAATATAATAAAATTCATAGAACAATTGTTTCTTATACAATTAAAAATTTCTTAATAAAAACAATCTTGTTACTCTTTCTAAAACTGGATATCCAAAATTATTAACTTCTAAAGATAAAATCAATTAATGAATTATATAGAAAGTATATTATAAAGAATAATAGCAATTATTATAAATAATGGATGGTCAATAAAATATTGATTTATATATAAATATTTCATTATATAAAATATAACATATTAAAATTTTAAATAGAATTGTTATATAAAATTTTGTGTAATTAATAAATAAATGATATGTGATACTTTTGTCCAAGTAGTATATGCCTATTTAAAATGTTTATGTCTAATTGATTGAATATTCAAATCCATTTGATATATTCTTTGGCTAGTATCTATTTTATTACTGTATAGAAATCAATATTTAGAAGTTTTGCAGCTATGGTATCAATCATATATGTGTTTATATTACTATAAAAAGAAATTTGATTGACAATATGATTCTAAATTAAATATAAATTCCAATTATTTACTATATGTTACTTAGTAATTCTACTATAATACAGTTTTTGAAAAATAGTTAAATTCAATTCTATTACATATATAATTGTCTCTAGTTTTACAAGTTTTGACATTATATTTGTCAAGTTATCTTCTATAAAAGTATATATCCATTTTTGTTTCTCTTTATTATAATTATCCTTAAGTGTTTTGAGATGATCTATTATTAGATTCTTTATAAGAACTGATATAGAATTTGTTAAATTGTTTAATTTTGTTAAATTGATATATGAATAAAAATTACTTTGTTATTTATATTAGGACATATATTAATTTCTTGAAATGGTTTTGTATATACATATAATTATCTTTTTTTAAAGTAAATTGGGAAGTTTATACATATTGTTTTGAAAGATTTGTAATATGTTTGTATTTATACAACTGGTTTATATTTTATTGTTTTTTTTAATTTAAAACATATATATGTTTATATTATAGCTAATCTTTTGAAAGGGTAAGTTAGCTTGGATTTTTCTGAAGCAAGTAAAAATTTTTTGTGATATATAAGATCTGTAATTATATGAGTTATATAAGTTTTGTTTTGTTTTTTCTTTTTATCCAATATTTGAAAAAAATTTTTTAATATATTTTTGATTTTGTTTTAATATTTGAGGTTATCTAATTTATTGGATATGATTTGGCCAAAGCAAAATTCTATTAATATCTAGTGAAGGTATATAACCTGATATATGACTGGCTGATAGTTTTATAAAATTAATATTAGTTTTCTTTTTTCTTAATCTTATTATGAATTGTTTACTTTACTTCTTATCTTCTTTCTTATAAAATTTGTCTTATTTTTCTAATATAAAACAAATCAAAAAAAAAGTGATGGATTTAATTAGTTTACAATAGAAATTATTTGTTTTGTTTTAAGAAAGTATTAGGGCTCCTAACAGTATCACTTCGATATTAGTTTGATATCAGTTCGATACTTAAATTTACTATAAATTCATATAAGTGGGTCATAACCCATATATTAAATTTACTATAGATTGGTACCATTTTGATACCACCTTGGTACTGGTTCAGTATTTTTTAGAGCCTTAGAAAGTGTTAATTATTGATTTCTCTTGATATTTTTTAGTTTCTTGTAAATTGGATAAGTATTTTGAATTTTTTTTCTAAAATTTTAATGGTTATCAAAAAGAATTTTTTTTTTTAGTTATAAACCTTTTATAATAAATGTTTATTTATTTATTTATTTATTATTATTTTTTTTTATTTTTAATTAGACTACAAGCCAATGTATTTATTAATATTTTTAATAATACAAATTTATACTATCATTAAATATTCTTGAGATGACTATAACAACCCATCAATGAGTCTAATAAATTTATATATGATTCTTAAATCCTTAATATCAAGACCACCATATTGTCTATATAATTTAGTTATTTATTAACTATTTCATTACAAGGGAGTTAGTTCATTAAGCTATTACTGTATAATACTAACTATCTTAGACTTTCTAAATTATTTCAACTCTCTAGGCTAGATTATAGGGAATAAGAAAGATACTTAACTAAAAAAAAACATTCCTTGTCTCTCTAAAATATCATAGCCAGCCAATATTCATAACTATCACTTCAATATAATTATTGTGGATCTAAGGGATAAAAAATTTTTATTTTTCTAAAATTAAAAAGAAAAAAATTAAAGAGGAAAAAGAAAAGTTTGTCCTGATAAATAAAAATCCATTTAAATTAATTACTAGTCTAATGAAAATTTTTTTTGATCTTGAAAAGAAAAGAAATCAGTACAAGAGTAAAGAGAAAAAACTTTAAGTCATATCTAATAAGAGAATATCTCAACACCTTGCTCTTTTGTTATATTCAGTTACATTATCAGTTTTATATAGTATGATATAAAACATGTGAGGAGTACATGTTTTGTTTATATTTCTTTTATTTATTAATCAATCAATTTAAGATTTTAACCAATTATCAATCAGAATTTCTAATGTAACAAAAAATTCAGAGTTAAATTAAGGTAGATAAAATTCCTCAAAAAAATTCAAAAAAATTTTGATATACTTGAAAGCACTATTATAGTCATATATAATTGATAAAAAAAGATCATATATCTGAATAAACTTTCTACTAGCTTATCCACATCAGGTATTTACTTATGATTAATCCAAGATTTTTATGATACTTGGAAAATACATTTACTAGTAGCTTGCTTTCTAGAGTTTCAAATCTAAAGAGAAAATAGTAAAGAATATTTTTTGACAGGTTTCTTTTTCCCAATAAGATATTCTTATTATAAATCAAATGGATAAAGTTTTGTTTATTTTGTCATTAAAATATATAAAGTTTTTTGAAGAAGGAAAGATGAATAAGTAGAAGAGATACCAGCCTTCAGAAAGTAAGGTTTTTAAAGAAAGTGTATAGACTTTATTATCAAAAATAAAAAATATTTTTGAGAATATCTATTTTTTGGGTTGATAAAGGAATTAATAAAAAGAATATATAATAAATGTTTATTTATAAAAAAAATAAAAATAAAAATAAGTTTATATATTTTAAGTTTAATATTTTAAGAATATTATTATTATTAAATAATATAAATTAATAAATTACATATTTAAAATATTAAAAGAAATTGATTAAATTATAAAACCAATTTTCTTAATTGCAGTCACAATATTAAGAACAAAAAAATCAATTATAAATTAAAATCTTAATCTTTAATTTCAATTATTATATATATATTTATTTATTTAACTGTAAATAAGCAAGAAATATAAGACTTTTATTAATTATATAATGATTTATACAATTTTGAGATCATGAGATCAAAGTTATATTAAGTATCGATAACTAGACTAATGCTAAATTATAAATATTTATTTAGACATAATAACTTATTAAACTTTTCAATACTCAAAAAAACTTACTAGGAGAAGTAAGAAATTATTATATATATATATATATATATTTTTAATCACAAACAGGCATTAAATATGGAATTTTATTACTGTTATTATATTAACAATCTTTATAAAGTAAATTAATTGTAGCTTATTATAATAAATTATTATATTTTTTTTATCTTATTATAAGAAATTTATTATATTAAACATTATTTATTATCTTATATATTTAAAATTTAGACTATAACAAAAAATATTTTTAAAAAATTATTAATATATTGTTTTGATATTATAATTTATCAATAATATATATTTAAATAATAACAAAAAAAATTTTATATAATAATAGTAAATTTTATATTAAACATAATAAAAATTTTTAATTTTTAATAATAATAATAATATATATTTTTTATTATATAATATAAAACTAATAAAAAGTTGAATAATAAATATTTGCTTAATATATATACAGTATATAAACTAATAAAGAATATAATTATAAAAAAAGCAAAATAAACCATGTGTTTATTTCCAATAAATGATAGGATGTATGTTGAAATATATTACTTTTTATGGTAATTTAATATGCGAGGGGAAGAAATTATAAAAAGCGAATTCCTATCGATGATTATAATGTTATTCTAAAATGTCTGCAAACAATATTCTTTTCTCTAGCGATTTAATCTCACCTGAAGTTAAAGCTGCACTACCTGAGGGATACACCATTAGACCTTTAGCGAGTGATGATTATGAACGAGGTTTTCTTGATGTATTGGCCGTTCTCACTTCTATTGGGGAAATCTCGAAAGCACAGTTCCTTGGTAGGCTTTTTTTAAAAAAAAAATTAAACTAATTATCTGTAAAAATTCTGAAATTATACTTCTTTCTCTCTGTAGAACGGTTTTACTATTTGAAAGCACATAATCATGAGTATTTTACTATAGTAATCATCTCGCCTGAAGATCGCGTTGTGGGAGCTGGAACAATCTTTGTTGAACGCAAG